ACACTAGGGACAAAGTTTAAAATAGTGCTGTGTTAATATTTTTATCAGAAATTAAATTTAAAATTGATTTTCTGAATTCTATATTTCAGTATTCTGAAATAAAAAACACGAATTTGTAAAAAAAAAAAAATTATTTCAGAAACAATTTTTTTCTTTTTTTTAAATCAGCAGTGGGGACAAGTGAGGGAATGACATATTGGTATATTTTAATTACCTAAAATAAATAAAAAATAAAAATTGATAATTTTATTTTTATTCTTTTGTTAGCTTGCATTCTGAAGGACACTTTCCCTGAATTTTTTTCTTTCGTAAGCTGTAAAACAAACATAAAATATACTGGGGACATGAAAATGACTGTTTCTGTGAGAATGACCCATATATATATATATATTGGAAGAAAAATAAGTAACTTTTTCCAAACAAAACTAACTTTCAGCCTTAAAACTCCCACTCACAAATTAAGAAAGATCATGCTCTTGTATAAATGTACCGAAACATTTTGAAACATTTATTTGTTTGCAGCATTAAGGAGTGACAAAGAATTACGAGCCTTTTATACTTACTTCATGTAATTGATCCTTATTTCAGTAGAAAATGCTTCGGAAGATTACATGGAAAAATTGTTGGCATTCTATGTTGAAGCTTTTAGAATTGGTGTCCTTTTTATCCATGCAAAATTCGTTTTAACCAAAATGAGGTAGTTAGTAACTTCTTTCTAACTTTTACGACAGCAATTTTGAAATCATTCTCATTATTCATGTATATTGCAAGATTTGGGGGGTAGACGCTGAAGGCGCACATACCGATTCGTCCGTTATATTAGTCGAATAATTAAAAGCGATATTAGTATGTAAATCGAGATGAATATGAAAATTAGGGGGAACATACACAAGTACATTAAAGTCCAGGAAGATCATTCTATAACATTGTGATATTTATATAAAAATGCTTTTTGAATTATAAACTATAAACGCAGCGGCGTGACAGCCCATAGAGGGTCAAGGCCAACTGTGCCCATCTCAGTTTTTTTTACCTTGGACTCTGGGATCCAAGAGCATATGTTCCGGTTAGATGGTCCGCTGAAAGCGAAACCCACTGTGTTTAGCTCCCACGCATGCTTGGTACTCATTTATCGACCCACTGAAGGGATGAAAGGCTGAGTCAACCTTGCCCGGCCCGAGGATCGAACCCAGGACCTGCGGCACGGAAGCGTGAAGCGTTACCACTCAGTCACCGGGTGTCTTTTTAATTAAAGTGGTACTAAATAAGGAAAAAAACTTGAAACTCCTTACTCACATTTCCGTTGATCTGAACTTTGCATGGGCAAAAAGGATACCGTTTCAAAAAGCTTCAAACATCAACTCTCAAATTTTGAAAACAGTTTTGCCATGCAAGAACTTCTAAAACATTTGCCGCCAAAGGTAGGTGTGCTTATATAAAGTTAGTACAGAAGAATTTGAATTATTTTGTCATCCAACTGTATGTATTATATGTTACTTTCTGTTTTATTATTCTTTAATACACATTTTCAACAATAACCGTCACTTTGCAGACGTATTTATATATTCTGCAAATAATTAGTCGTTTTTTAAACTGTTCCGTTAGAAGTTTATGCTATTGGAAAACACTGAGCAATAACAACACATCCCGTCTTAGTCCTAACTAAACATCATGGAATATTTAGACTTTGTTCAGGCAATTATGATTTTAAAGGTTTCTGCAAAAATATTGTTTAGTATTGATCAATTTAAACAATGGTTACAACCTCTTTTCACTTTACACCGAAGAGAGAATCATTAAAAATTGCAAATTAAGTGTGCACCTTGTTCAACAGAATCTTTTGTTTGACTCCTGGCTAGAGCCTAAAAAATGAAATGTTTGCTAACCTTAAAATGATTTCAAAACTAATCTGTAGAATTTTGAAAACTTTATATTTGACTTATCAATTTACTAAACCCACTTGTGTCTAGCGTTATTTTAAAACCACAGGTTCTTTTTATCAATTTAAAAAGTAATAGCTTAAGTGTTTAAGTATTGAGATTTATATCTCATAAACAAGATAGTTCTGCTTACAATAATATATTTAGCAGTATAAATATTCGTGTTTAAATCCGAAGTCAAAGCATAATGGCAGGTGACAGAAAGAATAATTTAAATTTTTTAGTTCACACACTTTATTTTTTTTATCACCTTACGCACAATACCTTTAAACTTTTTTTGCAATATTTTGATACAGTATATTAGAAATTACAAAATTTCCTGTAGAAGTTTTAAGTTATAATAACTACATAACATTTTATCCCTTATTTTGAACGATAAATTCTTTTAAAAACATAGATATTTCTATAAATAAATTTCATTTTATCTTTAATGAGAAAACAATACATAAAAGCCCTTACAGGTTTTTAATAGTATACTTATCAGATTTTAGTAGATCATTTACGAAAAAAATAATTTGTTTCTTGTTATCAGCCATAATAAGAGGAAAGTTAAATTTATATCATATCTTAAAAATATAATCTAATCTACAAAAAAATTTTGTAAATTTTCCAAATAAGCTGGGAAGAATTTGTTTACAAAGTTAGACCTCAAATTTCATGGCAAAATTTTATAAGAGAAACTAAGATAAATTTCAAGAGCAATACTTACAATAAGGCAAATTTTACATATACACTTTTTTTTGAACTTTGATCATTTTCTGAAACTTCTCTGAAAGAATAAAGAAATTTTTTGAAGCAAAGTATAAATATTTGATAAAACATCTTCATTTTACTTCAAGTTATTATTGTGAATAGCACAACTGTACCATCATAAACTCTTACAAAATATAGCAAAAAACCGTATTCACAATGAGTTTTAAGTATTTAAAAAAACTATGTTTTGATTTCAAATCCTGACAACATAAAGGCTGATCAAAGATTCGCATTGTAATTTCTGAAACATATAAATGATAGTGGCATCATTTTTCAGGGTTATAAAGCAAGAGCATAGTTATAAACTTAGTGCATAGATCTGATTAGCATTTAAAATAGATGTAAAGTTATAATGAGATCGATGTTTCCAGATCAGAAACATACAGTATTACGAATTTTAGTGACAGAGGGCAAGAGTGATGAAATATTTATCGCCAAATGTTTACAGTTTTTGGCAAAAAATATCTAAAACTAACAACTGTGAGCAAAAGGTGCAGCACTTTTTGCATCAATATCGGATTTTCTTACTACTATGATCTTAGTGTTTTTTCCTAATGCTTTCAAAGTATAACTAAATGCTATGATCTCTTATTAATTCATTATTGATGTTGATGAAATCATAAAAGCTAACCGAATAGTTAACACTCGTGATATTTGTATCCTGTATCGTCTAGCACAGGGGTTTCCAAATGGCGGCCCGGGGGCCGCATCCGGCCCGCGGGGCCGTTTTCTGTGGCCCGCAAACTAAAGTATATTAGTTGTCATTTTTTGCGGACTATTTTTGTAAAAAATCTATATGGGTTAAAAATATTTTTCTCGTTAATAAAAACCTAATTTCTTCGTTTCTGTGAAATTTAACATACCAACGGTGCAAAAAAATTTATTTCTCAGGTTTTGCATCCAAGAAAATATTTATTGAAATACAAAAATAATTGTGTATGTTGCTCTTTTTTATTTCATTTTTTTTTGTATTTTGAGAACATAATTTTGCATGTGCGTATCAGAAATTTTCTCGAAGAAATTCTCCGATTTAATTTTTTGAAACCACTCATTTTGGACGAAAATAATTACACACACATTTGTAAATTCTAAATTTAAAATTTAAATATCTATTCTCTGATGATTGCAGCAGACAAACCTAAATTTTGTCATTAAGCATTTTGTGTGCTACTATGTAAGTTTTAACAACAACCTTTTTTTTAAAGTTTTATATCTTAACAATTAGATATCAGTTGCACATTAATTGTTTAATACCTGGGTGCACATTAAAATTATTGTAGCCCGATTTTTTTTATATTCAATAAAATATTTTTAAAAATATACTTATTTTAATTTGTAATTCAATACTTTTGCTTTGTACAATTTGGTAAACATCTGACAGTAATATTTAATGTTCCTTCAAACATAAAAGAGTCCTACATAAAATTTTGATAAAGCCAGTTGATTTGCGTTTTTAAGTGTGGCTCCCGGCCTTATGTAAGTTGGAAACCCCTGGTCTAGCATGAGTGAAAAAAAGGATGCAATCCAATTCCGACTCTAAAAGTAATACAGCACAGTATAGTCTTTTTCTGAATGCATCCCTCTCAGTTTGTCTTTACATTCAATTTAAATGAACTCAAATAAACTGATAAATCAGAAATACATCTGAGATGCAGTTTAGTTATTTTCCTTCACAATCTTAAATGGTGGCGTTGCTAAAATTATTTAATTATTGTATTTATTACGCTGTAGCACTTTTCCACTTCTGATTTGGTCATCCCTTATATTACATGTCAGTATGATTATATTACATTATATTATATTACATGTCAATTCAATTGAAACTAAGAGCAGAAATAATTTTCTACAATTTTTACTTAGTTAGGAGTACTTGAATAAATGTTCATACATTCAAATAAATATGATCTGAATTTAAGTAATTGAGGAATAATATTAAATAAAGTTGTGGTCGATCAAAGTGTCTAAAAAATGGTTCTGCAATTAAACTGCAATTAAATAAACATTAAAATTTCTTGTTGCTAGATGTCTGAAAACGATAGAATGGTAACTAAAGTGTGTAAAAGAATGCTGGTTTTACTATGCTATCAGTGCAGGAGCAGTTTCTGTAGTGTGTGGAAATATACTACAAGCAACCTTATCCTGAATGTTTCAAGAAAGAGTGATCAGCAAGAAACCAAAGACAAATAAGTTGGAGATTATAAACTAAGATTCCTAAAATCGAAGAAGTACATAAATTCGTATAGGGAAACCTGATCTTTGAGTTTTAGGAATCTTATTATATAATCTTCCTATGATTTGCTTTTGGTTTCTTGCTTATCTCTTTTTCTTGGTGCATTCGGGAGTATGGTTGTTTATGGAATTTTACCATCACCCATCGTAGAAATTTCTTCCCCACTGACAGCATGTAAACGTTTCCTCAATGACGCTGCCTTGTTCGTTAGAGCTTTGCTTTACCATTTTTGTTCTTTCTTTTGTAGATCATTTCGACAATTAAATACTTGTCGGATTATTCCTACTTTCATGTAATTGATCCA